TGGTGTGAGTGGGACATGACTATGATCCTTCATCCAAGTGACAATGAGCCCCTGCTTTCTGTTCCATCTAGGGTATCACTGGGCCTTCTGGTCCACTCGGACCTCCGGGACCCCCTGGCTTGCCGGTGTGTATATGGAGGCGGGGCATGGCTCCCTTGTTGTCCCTGTAAGAAGCGGGGAGGCTGTGGGGCATGGCCTGGGTTCTCATCTTGATGTGGGGGGCACAGTGACAGGAAGCCACAGGGGACAGCATTTGGGGGCCAGGGTTGGGGTCCCACGATGAACAGGGGCGGGCCTTAGGATGAATAAGGTTGGGCACTCAGGGCTGATTCAACCTGGAATCCAGGCTCTGAATGATCACACTAAGGAAGGAAGCCACTGGGTCCTGGTTTGGGGTGGCCACAGGAGAGAACCTTCTAGAAAAATCTCAAACATTAAAGCAGTCGTCTATAGTTATTTCTTGAAAGCCCTGGAGAGTGGGACATTCTATCCCTGCTCCCAGTCAGCTGGGACGTACAATTCCCACACCTGGGAAGCCTGGGCCAGCAGGAGAGGGGGCCAGTACCCAGGCCCCTGGCCGGCCCCCAACATTGCTTTGAAACAGAGGGTCTCCATGCACAGGACTGCAGACTCCCACAGCCCTGAGCCCCTGTACCCCTCCGGGGGTTGGGTCTTGGGTTGCTGATCCATGTGGCCCCCAGCCATCTACCGGCTAAACCCTGCTGTGTGCATTCCACTCCCCCTTCCCCCTTGAGGGTGTCTGTCTGGACCTGTGACCAAGACCCCTCTTTACCCTCTAGCTTGGTGCCACTAGCTGGGGAGGGGGTAGGCTGAGCTGGGCATTGAGCCCCAGAGCACCCTGCCCTCTGTGTCTCCTCTTCTGCATGCGCACGGGAAGGTGGTCAGCTCGGGCCCAGGGTGGGGGCACTGGCAGCTCCTGATTCTCTGCTTTCCACTCCACAGGGCCCCCCAGGTCCAAAAGGTGCTAAGGGCTCCTCGGTAAGTGCCTGCGTCCTGCACCTGAAGTTCAGGAGGAGGATGTGGCCTAGACCCGAAGCCAAGGGGCAGGGGTGGGGAGGGCGTGGCCTGGACACCAGAGCCAGTGGGAGGGCCAGTGGGAGGGCATGGCCTGTGGGTGGAGGCCCTTGCACAGCCTGTGGCTGGTCAGGAGCACAGACCCACCTGGTCAGCTGGTAGAGCCATGGGAAAGCACTCCCCAAGGGGCCTGTGTGGAAGCCTGGTGTCCACCCTGCATTGCAGGCTGACCCCTGTCCTCACTCACTACCTCTCCTTGAAGTCGCTCTGACCAAAGCTTGTCCTCCCTTCTCTCCTGCAGGGTCCCACTGGCCCCAAGGGTGAGGCGGGCCAGCCAGGACCCCCCGGCCTGCCGGTAAGTGGCTGCTAAAGTCAGATGGGGGGGGGGTGCTCCCTGTGAACAGCAAGGGAATTAAGGGGTCATCTGTCTCCTGGGCCACAGAGAGATGGTGTGAGTGCCTGTGTGTGTGTGCATGTACATATGTGTGTGAGCGTGTTGTGTGTGTGCCTGTGTGAATGAGTGTATTTTGTGTGTTTGTGGGTGTTGTGTGGGGTGTGAGTGTGGAGTAAGGCTGTGTGTGTGTGTGAGGCTGATGCGCAGGCATACACCAGTCTGTGGATGCCATGCAGGAGCACCCCCCATAATCCCCTTTTGGCTGTGACTCCCCACTCCCATGCATTCTTGGGGGTCCTCCTGCAACAGCCCTGGCAGACGTGGATGAGGAGGGTCCAAGCTGGAGTCGCAGAGACACGACTTGGGATGGGGCAGGGGGCACACAGCAGGGCCATGTGTAGTGGAGCTGGGGGAGGCTTGGGCTGGGCAAAGGCAGCAGGCCTGGGGCTGCAACAGATAGGACTCCTGAACAGGAAGAGAGAAGACAGGGTCCATGCAGTGGGGACCCCCAGCAGTCTGCACCGCCCACGGGACACCCCACCACCACCACCTCTCCTGTCCATCCTGTAGGGCCCCCCGGGCGAGGTCATCCAGCCCCTGCCGATGCAGGCGTCGCGGACTCGGCGGGACATCGACGCCAGCCAGCTGCTGGAGGAGTCCAACGGCGACAACTACATGGACTACGCGGACGGCATGGAGGAGATCTTCGGCTCGCTGAACTCGCTCAAGCTGGAGATCGAGCAGATGAAGCGGCCGCTGGGCACGCAGCAGAACCCCGCGCGCACCTGCAAGGACCTGCAGCTCTGTCACCCCGACTTCCCGGACGGTAAAGCGCCGCGCTTGGCTGGGTGGGCCTCGGACAGGGCGTGGCGCGGGGCACGTGGGCGGGGCCTTGGGCCCGGCCCTGTAGGCCGGACACATAGTGGAGCCAGCATGTGGGTGAACTCTGCACTGGTACAGGGTCTGTGGCCTGGACCTAGAGTGGGTCTGGACATGTGGGTAGGGCCTGGCTGACACAGGGCAGGGTTGAATGGGGGCGGTGGGTGGGGCCTAGGTTGTGTCTTGGAGCATAGCCTGTGGGCGTGGCCTGTGGGCGTGGCCCGTGGGAGGGGAGGGGCGTGTGCATGGCCTGTGGGCGGGGAGGGGCGTGTGCATGGCCTGTGGGCCGCGGCTGGGCGGGGCGTGGCCTCCTTTGGGAGTGGATCCTGTGAGCCGGGCTGGGTTTTGAGGTGGAACCTGGATGGGGGAAGGGCCTTGCAGATGAGAGAGGGCCCAACAGGTGGGGGCAGGACCCAGGGTAGGCTATGATGTCTACTGCTACCCAGCAGGACAAGCATGGGACCAGGACAGTGCATTTGGGCTGTTGCAGGAGGGAGGACAGAGAGCTTGACGGCAGGGGGACCTGGGCACTTTGCCTGCCTGTCGAGTGGGGGTGCAGGGGCTGCCTGTCTTCTTAACTTTGGGGGACCCGGCGAGATGAAGTGGTTCTTGGGGTCGGGAGTGAGGAGACCAAGCCTGAGGCCAGCAGCCTGGGTCCTCTCGTCTGAGGCAGTGCCAGAAAGACAGCCTGGACCATCAGCTTGACACTGGGCTTTCAGTGGACACTGTCCATGGAGACGTGCTCAGGACACTGGCCGGGCTGGACATGGGTGTGGCCTCTGATGCCACTGCTGGTGGCGTCAGGAGGGAGCCACCATGCTGACAAAGTGGCCATGGGTTGGGCTGCGGACTGCAAGGTCACCGGTTGGGAGCCACACGCTGCTCCCTGGGAAAAAGACGAGGCTTCCACTTCCGTCAAGACTTAGACTTAGAACCCCCAGGGGGGTTCCACACGGTCCCGGGGTGTCTCGGTGAGTTGACATCGGCTCGCCGGCAGAGAGAGGGTTGGTGTGGGGACTGGTAGGTCTGGTCGCTTCCCTTGGGGTCTTGGGGGGCATAAACCTGGTACCCCCATGGAAGACAGGCCTACTGACTCCCTTTCAGAAGGTCACAGCTGTGCCCGGCCTGTGAGTGGGAGCTGGGGTGACGGTAGTGAGTGGTGTCCAGGTGGCACTGCACCCCTGAGTTGGCATCCATCTGGCATGACGGGGAAGCAGGCACTGGTGTCCATTCAGCCATGCCTGCCTGCCTGTGACTGGCAGGTGCAGGATAGTCCTCTGGCTCTCCAGATGTGCAGACCCTGCGGGGCTCTCTGGCAGATCCTGAGCTTGGCAGGGCCTCTTCTCCTGAGGGCAGGGGTGGCAGAGTGCACCAGCCGCGGGGCAGTGCCCTCCACAGCCGGTGTGCCTGTGTGCCCATCTCACCTCATGGCTTTTGGGGCCAGCAGGCACCACAGAGCCAGGAAGGGCCCTGGGCATGGCCAGGAGGAGGCAGTGCCCCTCACAAGCCCCCTGCACCCCCATCTCTCCATCAGGCGAGTACTGGGTGGACCCCAACCAAGGCTGCTCCAGGGACGCCTTCAAAGTCTACTGCAACTTCACGTCGGGCGGGGCCACGTGCGTCTTCCCCGACAAGAAGTCTGAGGGGGTGAGTCCTGCGCCCCGTCCCTACCACCGCAAGGCCCGTGTTGGTCATGTTCACAATGAGAGGATGGCGGGAAGGTGGGCGACAGCACCCCTGCTGATGGGCTGGCCACTGGGCACCCCATGCTGCCCCCACGGGGACCATTACTGGTCACCGTGCCAATCCCCGGCAGGAAGTTTGAAGCAAGTGCACTGACCCGAGGCAAGTGCCGGCTGGGTGCTGCCTGAATCCCGAGGGTGACGGTGTGTTATTATGAAGTGTGTTTAGGAGCCTTGGTGGCACCGTGGCTAAGCACCTGACTGCAACCTTTAAGGGTGGCAGTTTGAGAACCCGACAGCCGCTCCAAGGGGGAAAGAGGCTGGCGACCTGCTCCTGTAGCGACGGCCACCAGGAGGCCCTCAGGACCAGTCCGCCCTGTCACACGGCCCCCAGAGAGAGGCTCAGTGCTGGGGCAGTCGTTAGTGAGGCTGCAGTGCTGAGAGTCAGTCTCCCCCTGGGCGGCTCCTCCTTGACCTTTGCAGGGCCCCACCTGTGCAGGCCCAGACATGGGCTGACCCGTGTACGTGCGAGTGTGTGGTGGGCCAGGAGTGTCTGTGAGTGTGAGTGGTTATGTGTGCCTGCGCAGGCATGCTGATTGGTGTGTTTGAGCAGCTATGGGAGGGATGAGTGGGCAGGTGTATTGGTGTGGTGAGTGGGTGATGGGGCGGGGGTGTGGACCTGTGTATGCATGGGTTTGTAGGCACTTGGGGGGGGGCAGGTGTGTGCACTGGTGTGTATGTGAGTGAGGGTGAGCAGGTGCGTGAGCATGTGTGTGTTATGTGGGGAAGGGAGCTGGTCTGCTTCCGTGAGCATCTGGCCCTCAGGCCCCTGAGTAGCCTGTCTTGGTGGCCCCTCTGGCTGGCAGAGCCTGGGCAGAGCGGAGAGACAATCACAGAGAGGACACCCTAGGGAGGTCGCTGAACCCCCCATCGCAGGCTGCGAGGGTCTGGACAGCCAGGGGTCCTGGGCTCCCTCAGGACCCTGCAGACAGCCTGTGGTGACAGTGGCCGGTTCTGCCCATTTCCATCTCCTCAACAAGCTGGTGACCGTATGCCTCAGAGGATCTGACCTCTAGGCAGGGGCTAGTGCCTGGACAGGAACCAGAATGCTGGCCCACTCTGATTCACATCGAGGCCATGAGGGCGTGGTCTTCTGGCGAGATGCCACCTGTCATTTCCCAAACAGGTGGCTGAGGCAGGTGGGGGCCCCTGGTCCTTGACCTAGTGGGTCGGGGTCCTGTTCTTGTCCGGCAGGATGACCCAGACATCCACCTCAGGGTAGGCTTTGTCCAGTCTGAGCAGTCACTCGCTGGCATGGTCCTCTCAGGCAGCCCATGGCCACGTGATCTGGGACAAAGTGGCCACTTTCTGGGGGCCAAAGCTGGAACCCAAGAATGTCCATTGTCCCAAAGGGCCCCAAGCTTTGAGCGAGGGCCAACAGTGTCCCTAACCCGCCACTCCCTCAGTAGCATGGAGGGTCCAGGGCCCTGGAAGACACAGCCCTGGGCACTGCCTGGGAAGGTGCGGGCCATCGTGGGCCAGGGGTTTCCGTGAGCGAGGACCCACAATCGTGGGCCAGACTTGCTGTGGCTCCAGGGGGCCAGGAGATGCCCAGGAAACCTTGTCCCTGTCTGAGGCTGGTGCTCTGGGAGCTGCCTGAGGCTCAAGGAAGTGCCCGTAGGAAAGATGACTGTTTGGTGGGCCCGTGCCCCTTCTCTCGTGCCCACCAGCCTGTCGTCTCCAGGTTACGCTAGGGGCTGTGTTGCTCGGACAGGCCTCGATAGGTACTGCCGGGAAGGACTCCCCCTCTGAGGATCAGAGGGAGGATAAGTGTGAGCATGGGGGGGTCCTGGAGCTGCTCCAAAACCCATCTTTATGAGCCGGGAGTTCAGCTCTGACAGAGGGAAGGTTTGGGGCCAGTGGGAGAGATTGGAGACTTCTGGACTGGCCAGAAGCAGACTGGCCGCCCCTTGTCCTCCACTGTGTCCCCTCTGCTGGCTGGAGGAGGCCTGTGAGCCTCAGGACAATGCGGGAGCTGCTCCTGCTCAGGACTCTACACCTCCCCCCCCACTCATACCCTCACTCACTGACTTACTGCTCACTCACCCATGCAGCACCCCTTCATTTACTGGCTGTCCTGGGTCCTGTGGGCTTAGGCCTGCATAAGCCAGACCCTGCAGGGCAGGACTTCCCACCATGGCCAGGCTGGCCAGTCCTGATGAAGCTGCTGATGAATCAGGCCACTTGTTGTTTCAGGACCACCCACCTATTCTGGGGGTCCTCAGTCACAAAGATAACAACCCACCACCACACACACTCACACTCACACACGTCCACACACTCACAACCTTGTATGTGGACACACACGTGTGCGTATACCCACTCCACATGCAACTGCACGTGCATACACTGTGCCCACTCCACATGCATGCTTGCTGTCACACATGCATCCTCACACGTAGACTCACACTCATGGGGGGGTTCCCTCCCACTCACACCCCCACCCTTTCACGTATGCTCCTATGTGTGTGCCCACACTCACTTACACACAACCCCGGGTGTACACTCACACGTGTGCACACTGTCACACACTCGCCTGCACTCATGCACCTCCCTCACTCATACTCACTCCATGGCACACTCACCTGGGGCCGTACTTCCACCCCCACCCCCAACGCTGACACACGCACAGCAGGGACCCAACCTAGTGCAGCCCCCAGGTGGAAGCACCGAGGGAGCCAGGGAGACCGAGGGAGGAAAGGCGCGTGCTAGCCCCGCTCCACCCAGCTCTGGGTGCTAGCTCCTCTTCTGGGTCCCAGCTTCCTGGGGGTTTTAGAATCCACTCACTCACTCTCTCACCCACATCACTCACTCTCTCTCTTACTCTCTCTCCCTCTCTCCCTCTCTCTCTCTCACACACTCACTGCCTCACTCACTCACATTCACCAAGCATGGCTGTCACCCAGCGCCGTGGCAGACTGGTGCACAGACGTGGCTTGATCGGGGTGAGATGGATTGGGGAGTGGAGAGGAGGCTGCAGCGTGGATCCACACGTGGGGGTAGACTGCGGAGATCCAGGCCACCCCTCCTGCTCTCTGAGGCCTGGTCCTCAGGCCCTTCCTTCCCTCTTCCTGGATGGTGGGCAGGGGGCCCAGGAATTGCCGGGGCAGAAGGCCAAGAATTAACCCTTTCCTTTTCTCTGTCTCTCTCCCTCTCTGCCTCCCCCTGGATGTTCAGACCAGAGTCACTTCCTGGCCCAAAGAGAGCCCGGGTTCCTGGTTCAGTGAATTCAAGCGCGGTAAACTGGTAAGGCATCTCCCGCTCCCGGGCGGTGACCCATCCAACCCGCCCGTCTCCTATCTTGCAGAGTAAAATGGCCCGCTGGCCCAAAGAGCGGCCGTCCACCTGGTATAGTCAGTACAAGCGTGGGGCCCTGGTAAGTGCCTGCTTGCAGCAATGCCTGGCTCGCTCTGCATGGCACTCACGCCAGGCTGCGGCGCTCACGCCTGCCACGCCACAGTTGTGGACAGGCTGGGGCTGGCATCTGGGGAGTCTGGAGCCATGCCAGAGTGGGCAGGCCCTCGGAGAGCAGAACTCATGCCCTCCAGGAGAGAGGGCTGAGGTGGATGCTGGGCATCCGGGAATACCCCTGCTCCTGTCCTGCTGCTGCCAGCGCGGACCAGGAGCCCTGTACCTCTGCCCACATCTGCCTGGGGCTCCTCAGAACCTGGAGGCCATCTCCCTCCCACAGAGCCCCCGGGAGCCTTGCTGCTCTGTCCCACGGGGTGGCTGTGAGTCAGAACCGACTCCACCGCAGGGAGTTGGTTTGCCGGTTCAGGATGGGCGCCCCGGTGGCGCAGTGGGTTAGGCACTGGCTGTACCCAGAGGAAGATGGAGTGCCCCTTCAAAGGCAGAGAGCCTCCCAAATGCTGGCCCTGCGGAATTGTTACCAGTCAGAGTGACATGAAGGCCGCGAGCTTGGCTGGGTGTTCTGAGTCAGTGGTGGCCTCTGGGAGTCCTGGTGGTGTCGTGAGTGACAGCACCGGTTCAAATCCACCAGCCTCCCCGGGGGAGAAAGAAGAGGCTGCCTGCTCCTATAAACATCCACAGCCTCAGACACCCACGGGGACAGGTGGGCCGAGGCTGTCTGAGTCGGAGTTGCCTCGTGGCTGGGGGTTTTCCATGGAGCGCCCCCTGACTCCTGAGTAGTTAGCTCTGAGCCCTGCCGGCGAAGGCGGCTGCCCCTCTGCACCCCCTCTCAGCCTCTGAAGGGCAAGGCTCCCAGAATACCGGTAGGTGAGCCCCCCCATTGCTCCCTGCCTCATCGGCAGCATGTGGGCTCCAGGGCTGCCGACCACACCAGCCGCCCCGGGCACAGCCCAGCCTCTGCGTGCACAGGCTGCTTCCAGTCAGGCTCAGGTGGCCACACTTTTCTGCAGGGGCCCAGGCAGCCTGTGCCTGTGTGTGTGCCTCTGCCCACCTCTGCCCCCTACCCCAAGGCCCCGGCTGCCTGGCCGCAGCAGGCCCTGCCCAGCCCAGTGAGGCCCATGCCCGCCTGCCTGGCCACTCGGTGCATGGTGCTGTGGACCCGGTCCTGTCTTCCTGTCCTGGGTGCCCCTGTGCTTCAGCCACCTTGCTGTGAGCTCTTAGAGGGTCTCCTGGACACAGAAGGACCTGATGGGGTGTCCACTCTGGGGAGGGTCTGGGAGAGGGGAGAGCTGCCCTCCACAGACAGGTGCCAGGTCTTTAGGGGGCTCATGGCCACTGCCTGGAGGTGCATGTGGAGAGCTGTGGCCTCGAGGCCGGCTGCTAAGGCCCGCCAGAGGACCTCCGGAGTCAGGCCTGGTGGCCTGCTCCTGAAGTGGGAGCACGGGTGACCTGGGGGCAGAAGTCGGCTTCCATGCTCAGGCACCCTGGGATTGGCTTGACAGCCACTGACTGTGTGTGGTCACTGCCGGTGGCCCTGCCTCCTCTCTTAGGAGAGAATCTACTCCCAGCTCCGCAGCCAGGCTCCTCTCCCCCGGGAGAGCCTGGGGCACCCAGGGCTGATCACTGCCGGCAGATTGGCTTTGTGAAGAGGGAGGGAGGAAGGGACAGCTCACCTGTGGCCTGTCTACCTCACAGGCCTGGGGACATGTCCATTCACCACCCTGGGGACATGTCCACTCACAACCCTGGGGACCTATCCACTTACGACCCTGGACCATGTCCACTCACCACCCTGGGGACATGTCCACTGATGACCCCTGGACCATGTCCACTCACTACACTGGGGACATGTCCACTCACAACCCTGGGACATGTCCACTCATAACCCTGGACCACGCCTACTCACAATCCTGGATGCATGTCCACTCACGATCCTAGACACATGTCCGCTCACGACCCTGGACACATGTCCACTTACAACCCTGGGCACATGTCCATTCAAAACCCTGGAGACAGGTCCATCCACTTCCCTGGGGACATGTCAACATCACTGTAGCCTGCCCCCTCTCATGACCCTGGCGCTCCATGACCCTCTTGGAAGACCAGGCAAAGAGACCCCCCCTCGCACCCCACAATGGAGGAATTACCCAGATGTGCCCTATTGGGAAGGCCCCGGAGAGAGGGTCTCACTGGGCTGGTGCTATGCGGGCCCTTGGCTCCTGGTCCTTCTGTGTCCACTGCTCGCCTGGCTTCTCTCTGTGCATGCCCCCTGGTCAGTCACCTCCCCTGGAAGGAGTGCCCGGCAGGACCCTGCCTCCGGTGGGTACCACTTCACTCCCTCAGGTCCGCCCGGGCACATGGAGTCCTGGGAAGCTCTGGGATGACCTGCATCCCACTGAACTGTGGGAAGAGGCCCCAGCTCAGCTCTGCGCCCCTCACTCCTGAGAGAAGCTGGACACCAGCTGTGTCCCCACTTCCTGCTCCCCACCTGACCCCCATGCTGTCTGTGGATGGGCGTGCGGCCTCTCCAAGCCCCACCCCGAACCCCGGCCATGTGTCCATCTGCCCACCTGCTGTGAGACAGATAGATAGATCCACCTCCAGCCCAGCACCCTGACCCTGCCTGAGCCCACAGGGTGCCAGTACAGGCCAAGCTTACATTCGCCAGTGGGTCTCTATTCATTCCGCTATTGGGGCCCTGTCGTCCAGGAGCCCCCACCTTCAGGTGGGGTCCTTCTGTGAAGGAAGCTAGGCTCTCAGCAATGAGGCTTCCCAACACAGGACCCCTTAGGGGGATGTCCCCCCAACACAGGAGCCCACATCCTCAGGGAGGGCTGTCCCCCAACACAGATGCTAATGTCCTCAGGGAACGGTGCCAATCCCTCCGCAGTGGGGAAAGGGTTGTTGGGCCTCTGGAGACACCCTGGCGGGGCCCAGGGAGACCTCTGCAGTGACCATGGAGAAAGGGCAGCGTGTGTTGGGCACTGGGGTCGGACAGGGGCAGAGTGGACACCACTCCAAGAGCCAATGGGGTTGGTGAATCTCATGAGCAGAGGTCGGGGGGTGGGAGACCCCAGCCTACCCCAGGGGATCAGAGGGTGGGCTTCCCGGAGGAGATGGCAGTAGGCGGGGCAGTGGTGGGTCTCTGGTCCCGGCAGAACTGGGGCGCTTCATGGTCCCCGGGAGCCGAAGGGTATGCTGATGGTCAGCGTGGACCTGGGCTTCGCTGCTGGACACGTGCCCCTCCTCTGAGCACCCTTCGTCCCTGGCAGCTCTCTTACGTGGATGCCGAGGGCAGCCCCGTGGGCGTGGT